TCCCATCCCATCTCACCGGGTGGGGACAGGGAGTGCAGGTTCACATGGTCCTACTGTGGTTCAAACCACCACAGAAAGCTCCTCAGATTATATCCTACTTTCAACAGGATAACTGGTTCAAAAGTTTTGAGAAGAGACAGGCAGATAAATATCTTTAGTTCTGTTTTCAATCAACTTAAAACAATACAGAAAAGGTTTTTTCACTGTCTTTTACTGACAGAAGCAGAGTTGTATCTGCTGCCCCAGGTTCTCTCAGGCTATGGCAGTGTACACATGACACTTGTTGACGAGTGAGCTCTGCAGACTGCTTTGAAAAGAACATTTCTCTGACCAGTAGCCTAAAAGGTCCCAGATAAATCCCAGAATGGTGACTTCACCTGATGTTTAGTTACAGTGAGATTCATCTCTTGCATGTTTTATCACAGGTAGCTGTTCAAAAGTTCACTCTTAAAAGCAATTTCCATCTGTGCATAAGTAATTTGATGTCAGTCCTTTTTATTTGATTCTCTGCCCCATAAAGGGTATTTCCATACCCAAGGAGATAAGAATGGATACCCATTATCATATCTTATTATGCTTGCCCAGATCAATTATACATTTCCTATACAAAGTCTTTATCACATTTTTTCCATGTGACCCTTCATAAAGGTCATTCCTTTGATAATCTAATGAAGCTGCCATCCTTCTCCTGTTTAATCTCATCACTGGATGCATTGACACTGTTAATTTCTATAGTATATTGTTAGGTATGAAGGCTAGCAGGGATTATTCATATCTAAAATACATCTGATTGGTTTTTATAACTTTTTTTTTTTTATAAATAACAAATAATCCTATATATAATCATTCACTGTAATTGTGTTGATGACACTAACGGTACTAAGGAACACACAGATGTTTCTCTCCCTCTAAACCCAAAAGAACTAAATAAATAAGATTTTAACTTGCATCTACACCATCAGCTCCTTTATTTAATTTTTTATATCTATTTTCTGCATTTTGTATTAAGTCTGTATGTAGGCTCCACAGATAAATGATCTCCTGTTGTGTTACTACGTTGCCTCACAAAGTGGAGACACAATTCTGAGTATAACACAAATGCCTAATAATAACAGTAACTGGGAAAAAGAATCCCTTTTGAAATTACTTAACTCACCAAGCATTGTAGGATAAATATCCACGAGAGAGACCATATTTGGTACTTGCTGCTGCTCTTTTATGCCTGGCCCCATAACTAAAAGAGGAACATGGGAGCTTCCCTCATACATGCTCATTTTATAGAACTGCCGGTGTTCCATAGCAAGTTCCCCATGATCTGCAGTGAATATAACGATGGTTTTTTTAAGGAGCCCAGTATCTCTCAGAGCTGAAATAATCTCACCTGCAACAAGAAAAAGATATGGTAAAAGACACCTTCAAAATATTCTTTCCAACTTCTGTACCTGCAAAGCAGCATGAAAACCCCAAGGAAGCCTAGATGGAGGGTCAGACACTCCACTCTGACACAGAAGGGCAGAGCCCAAAGCGTTCAGCCCAAGACAACATACAGTCAGAAATGAGTTAGAGGGGTCTGGCTCCCAATGAGGCCAGAACAACAACAATAAAAATGTCAAAAGGCAAGGATGCACCCCAAAACAAGCTGCATTTTTGCTTTCGTCACTTCTGTTTAATTTATAGTGTAACTAGTAAGAGTAGTTTCAAGAGCAGGAAATCAGGTCAGCAGAAGCCCTGATGCTACATTTAGGGTGAAGGACTCTTGACAGTATCCACCTTGCCCCGACTCAGGGGGAGACTCTCCTGCCCGTGCCCGTATCCCCACAGGAGCCCCTCGCACAAACATTTGTGTAACAAAGACAGGGCCACTTCTCATAACGGCAGTTCATGACAAAACACGGGGAAATGGGTTTAAGCTGAAAGAGGGGAGGTTTAGATCAGATATTAGGAAGAAATTCTTCACTGTGAGGGTGGTGAGACACTGGCCCAGGTTGGCCAGAGAAGCTGTGGCTGCTCCTCCCTGGAAGTGTTTGTGGCCAGGTTGGATGAGGCTTTGAGCAACCTGGTCTAGTGGAAGGTGTCCCTGCTGATGGCAGGGGGGTTGGGACTGGGTGAGCTTTAAGGTCCCTTCCAACCCAAACCAGTCTATGATCCTATGATCAATGATGTCAGTAATGAAGCAAAGCACTTACACATCTTTAGTGTTAAAAGACTAAGATGATTCTTGCTCAGACTAGTTAAAAATTCAAAAAACATTACCAAATTAAGCCCCAGTGCAGACACTGTGCAATACCATCATTCCCTAAAACTGTCAGGCTTCCATCGATATCTTTTTCTTCCTAAAATGTGGAAGAGTAATTCTGTGTTTTTTAAATTACTTTATCATTCTAACATTGCTAAAAAGATCAGCTTATTTATTCACGTATTTCATATTAGAATGCACAGAAATTCTTGTTCTTTCACGGTCACTTTTCAAATTAAGAAATAAAATACTGTAAATGGAGACTAATTTGCATTATAGTTTTTATTATGCAGATCTTACTGCAAACTAGGAAAAATTCTGAATGCCTAATTAGTTTCGTTTGTTTTTTTTTTTTCTTCTTAACTTTCAATAATATGCTGCTAAAGGAGACTTCAAAGGTAACCTTACTGTTTAGTCTATGTGCAATAGCTGTCATCCAGTCTATGCACTTGAAATCAATCTCCAAGGAAACTGCTCATGCCCTAAGGTTTATCTTTCTTTCCAGCTTTGCTTTGCTGGTCTGTCCCCTTCACAGTTGTTTCCATCATTTCAGTTAGCACTTTATCAAAGAGCATTTAGGTCCTCTTGATCATGGGTCAAGCAACGTTTTGCTGCAGTTACTGGGCTTTTACAAGGTCCCTGACTGGGGGTTGTGATTACTTTTTCGAGTGCTCTGAAATCACCTTGAAATCACTTTGCAACAGTCTTAAAAATGATCCAGTTATTTATTGTACAGGCTGATTAAGCAACATCCATGTGACTTTTCCCAGATCCGAGTCGTGCGTGGTATTTTGGGGGGTTTTTTTTGTTGTTGTTGTTGTTTTTTGATTGGTTGGTTGTTTTTTTTCCCCAAAAGATCAGCATTTTCTTAAAAAAAAATCAGAACAAGAAAACCCACTGCATAGTGGAACATCACCTACCCAGCATGGCATCTGTCTCCGCACACATAGCATAATAAAATGCTCTAATATCTCTCACTTCTTGCTTCGTAAACTCTCCTGTGCAATTCTTGGTGTAGGATGAGTAATAGTCTACTGGATGCATCTCTGAAAGAGAAGACCACTTGGGTATTTTAATAGCTTCATAAATTACCTAAAAATAAGAGGAAATTAACATTACTTCAGCAACTGAATTAAATATTTTTTTGGTAAAAAACAGATTTAATTTAAAACTTTTTTAGCATAAATTCACAGTTCTCAATGTGTGGTCCAGGAAACACCAGCTGCTTATCTGTTACATGGTGCTGCTGCCTCCTCCATACTTCCCCTCTGCTTCCACAGGTATCAAGTCATTTTTAAAAAAAAGAGTTATAAAAATCAGCTAGAAGCTAAGGCTGGGAGCCAGAAATATGTGCTTTACCAGCTGATACCTTTTTTTAAGAGAGATACTGCAGAACAATCTTCTGGAACAGTACTCTAGAGTATGCACAGAAGTATTGGCACAGTGTCTCATTAACCACAGGATAACTATAAAATATATGTATTGAAAAGATCAGGTGTTATGGAAGCCTACAGGACAACACAGAAATTTACTTAATCTGGTAAGGTCTCCAGGACAGTGGGTGACAAGTCTTGACATCCTGATAAAAAGAATTCACTAAATTAGTGCAGTTTTCTAATACTTTCCTATTTGTTTCTGTAGATGTCAACCCATTTAGTTATAAAAGAAGTGTAAGATCAGTTTGAAACAAAAAAATAGGAGCCAACTACAAATAATGCTGGATTTGTATATCCAAACTGCTCACAGGTACTGTGTGCTGCAGGACCAGCTTTAGAGCCTCAAAGTCTGACACAGACATTCCCACTTGTAAGCAATCCCTTAACCAAGTGCTGCATTTAACAGTTAATTAAGTCTATATGGTAGTCTGAAAGCACAAATTGCCACAAAGCAGAGAAGATGTATTTTCAGTGTATAAAAAGTTTATTAAATAAAACCACATCAGGGATAAAAGCTAGCTCTGTCATAGTCAAAACAGATACATGAAAACCTAAGTTTCCTTACGCTCTACAGAAAATAAGCTGCAAGAAGGAATCATGGAAGATAAAACAACAGCAGACTACTGCTTCCTGTCACTGAAAGTCCTTGGCTACATAAAGTCCCATTTTAGACTCATTAAACAGTATTGATTAGTTGCTTAAGATATAATGGGAGCAAAAGTGTCCCTCCCCATCCACAACTCATCAGAAAATTGAACCTTTTTCTACAGGACTACAACTTAGTTTTAAGGATTGGCAAAGTCACAATCCCTTTGTCTGTCTGTCGTAATTTGTAGGTAGGAAAGAAGCCACACGCCCTGAAAAAGTGCCAGCTTGTGCAAAATACAGGGGACCATCTGCTTAGCAACACAGGGCTTCACAAACACACTGTGCTGATACTCTCTTCTTATTACCTTCCCAGTAAACATATAATTTATTTCAAGTTCTTCATCTACACACTCGAGCTTCTGCATAAGACTGATCCCTGTAATTTTCAAAGACTGCTTCTTCCACAGCCAAAACCCAGACACATTCCAGAAGACTCAGCCAAGGGTGATAAATGTGTGGTTCACATAACTGCCTACGTGTACGTGGTGGTGGGAAGGACCTCAGCGAACTATGGAGTTCAAATTAATCATGTCCAACTGGGTTAAGGATGACAAAAAATTGTCAGAGATGATACAGCTCTGTCTGTGACTTCAGAAAAGGTATTCCCGCTTCCCAAGACGTGTCTAACCTACCAGCACCCAGAATTTATTTCCTTATTATCCAAGCTAGACCTTGCTTTTTGCAAATGAAGATTTTTTCCCCCCATGCTATTCTTCTCCCCTCCCTTCTCACATTCCTACAAGAACCCACAACCCTCGCTATTACAAAGAATTTACAGCTCTCAACCTTCATTTATATATATTTTTTCCTAAGCCTTTGTATTTTTGTTGCACCTAGATAAAGAGATTTTGCAGTTCCCCATCAGAAAAGGCCAAATGAATTATATATATTACATATGGCTTTTTTTTAAAGTAAGCATAAAGTCTTTTCAAACCTAATCCTCAGTTCATCAGCTGCAGAGAATCTTAATGTCTCTATGCAGTGAAATCTGCTGTAACCCATTTATATTTTTCTGACAGATAATGGCACCTGGTGACCACAGAAGAAAGAGAAAAAACATTTACTGCTTCTTTGGGATAGAGTGCTACCTGTTAGGTTTCCATATATGGACATAATGGGACTTTTCTGCACTCTAAAAACATTTAAAAGCTACAGTAGTATGGAAAGAAGTTAAGAGAGATGCTTTTGCTGTGTTTTACTACTTCACATTCTAGGTCTGTACTGTAGGAAAAGTCAGTCTCCCACTATAAAACTCAGAGAGGGTGATTACATACGGCACTATTTGTAACAAGCACAATAAAGAATGTTATAAACAATGAACTTCAGACCATTACTGAAAAAAAAACCTACAGCTACATACAGCAACGACTTCATTCGCTGTTTAATTAATGTTTCTAGCCATTGACCTCTAAATTTCTTTATTGATTCAGTGACTACTGCTAACAAACCATTTCCTACCACAGATAAATTTCTTCACTTCTATTTGCTTAGCCTCAAATCAGAAATCCAACATCTCATCCAAGTACTTTCTTACTGTGTATTGAAAGACCAAAACTGTTCATATAAGTACAGTTATAAATACATTTATATTCAAATTTAACCTTCATATACCTTTTCAAGCCAATAGGGAGATGTTAAAAACGTAGAGGCTCCAAAATTTTCTCCTGTATAGGGTGATGGATATGGGTGTGGTAAATTTAGTCCCAAGTAAAGAACAAATGGTTGAGTAAGGTTAATGGCTTCTTCTTTTATCCAGGTTACTGCTTTATCAGTATTCCGCCAGTCTGCTTCCATCACTCTCACACGCTTCCTGTCACCAGTAAGTTTTACCATGGGTCTCCCTTCTTGCCGGAGCAGGAAGTCAACATCCCTCGTCCAGGCTTCCACACGGTTACTGAAAGGATAGACACAAGATACATACTCAGCAGAAAAGGTTTTCCTCACTTTTCCTCAAAGTCAAAAGAGTTAAGGATTCCTGAAGAACCTCCCCTGTGTTTGTACCTGCAATCATCTATCTGGGATTTCTGCATAAAGGACAATTGTTATTCAATTAATCAACAGCTATCGTGCATCTACTTTGTCCTCCAAGCTTCAGTCATTCTTTTCTGCACCTGAACCTTCCTTCTTATTTATTATAACTTCATGCCAGAATGGTTCTTCTCACATCTACAAAATAACGTTTAGAAATAGCACCTCCATCGTGTTGAGCCTGCTCCCCACCCTGGCATGGATTCACCTATTATTTACCTGGTAAAGAGTAGATTTTTGTTATTTGAAAAAGTCCCATGGGAAATAACTTGCTTGGAGAAGCTGCCTTCAGAAGCAATGTTCTGATTTTGGATTGTACTATTCTGACATTTCTAAACACTATCAGTTATGACAAAAATCTGTAAGAGTGATTTATCTTGTACAGTTGCTTTTGATACGGTTAATAAATGCTGTCAAGAAAAGAGAGTAACAGAGGAAAAGGGTGTAGAGAAAACAAGAAGGAGAAAAAAAAAAAAGACAACACTTAAATGATAAAATATTTCTGGAACAGATTTTCTAATGTCATGACAATTGTTGCCTCTTTCAAACACTGAGAAATCCGAGCTGCAGATGTCCTTGTTTCTTTGCCAGTGTGAATGACGCCACAACTGCCACAAACAAGGCTCAGGAGGAAACAGACCATTTAAGACCTTGACTAATCTTCATTTTGTTCATGGTTAATTTCGATGTAGCCAAACAAATGATGAAAGAAAATATGAAACTGCTAAAGATTTGATCAAAACTTTAATCACAACACAGCATTATTATTGTTTAAAGAGCATCTAATCAGTTTTGTCCCCGTAGGAATTTTACCGGCGCACTTTTTAAACCTCCAGAAAAACTATTCAGAATTACCTGTAACTACAATTTTTTAATTGCTTTACCTCCTTGTTTAGGCTCACACTTCCAAGGTAAACAGGCTGAAACAAATCACTTAGAACAAATCAGAGTAGCTAGATGGCCTATAGAGAAAGCATATTTCAATGTTAAACATTAAAATAAGATGGTGGTAATGGGTGGGTGTGTGGGGGTGCACATGGATGTGTCAAATTGCATTAAATGTCATAAAACTGACTTACAGAGAAAAAATAATTATGTAGGACATAGGTCAGTCTGACTATCCAATCAGACTGAGTTTAAGATTAAAAAACCAAAAACAAAACCCCAAAACTAAAATAAAAATAATAAAATAAAATAAAATA